TAAATCTTGCTTTTTATAAACTTTTCTCTTACCCCCTTGTCACAGAAGCCAAGCATACACAAACAGAAGGCATACCTTCTGTATCTGCCTCTCGTATTTCACATTTAGTAATGGAGACATCAGTTCTTATCTCAGATTAATGCCTGTGTACACAACAGACTAGCAGAATCTCCGGGCTAAATGGATGCATTAAGGGTGACCTTATAATCGTGGTGAGATGCTCTAAACTATAACTCTGTCCCTAGACGGTTCATTTCATCACAGATCTAAAATGTTTGCTTGCAGGCTACTGACGTCCCTGAAGAAGTTGTACTGTGTCTCACTGGTAACTGATACGTGGTGGTCTTGCAATCAATGGCAATATTTTCATTCAGGAATTGCCAAAATTTAGCCCTTTATTAAATAATCTCACAGTATACCACAAGCTACCTGTAATATCTTGTGTGGGCAGAAATGTATTGTAATCATCCACTCAGCACAGAAATACATGGATTCCTGCAAGTTTCAGTTGTCAGTCTAGGGTGTCAGTAACAAAAGAAAATCATTACAGCGTGATGGTTTTTTTTAGGGTCTGGTTTCATGTTATGCTTAATCCAGTTGAACTGCGGTCTGCTGCCAAAGTGCTGATCCTGCTCTTCCTTTTTTCCCAGCCCTGGCTCCCTTCCATGCCTTAGCAATCACATGCCTGCATGGTGATTTGGATCAATTCGCTGATCCCACGGGAAATACATCCACAGCTGGCTGGGCAAGCCTCCCGTTGCAGCACTGAGCCGAGCCCATGCATCCCACAGCAGGGACACCATGACGAGGGACAGAAGGAAGCCTGCTCACCCCATCGCTGGTGGCCCGCAGTGGGCTCAGATGGGCTATAAAGCCATACTGCATCCAGGATGTCCTGTGTGGAGTCAGGTGGTGGCTCCAGCTCTTTGATCCCACAAAATCCACCTTCTCAGCTTGCAGCAGGGACCCACAGAAATGCAGGGCCTGTGCATGTGCTTTAAGCCCTCCCCATCGCTCCCATCCCACGGCCTTCTAAAAGTAGCTACCCGGTAAGCTCCTGCAGCGCTCCCGGTGCTCTGACGAGCTCCAGCAATCTCCCACCTCCTCCTGCAGACCTCCTTTCATTCACAAAAATCTGCCGCAGCCTCCCACTTGCACCAGGCCTTTGGCAGGATCCCAAAGCCTTGCGCTCCTTTGGCTTCTGCAGTCCCCAGCTCAGTTTCCCTGCTATCTTTGTAAAAAGGGCAGGCTTCGTGGGGATTTTGCTCTTCTTCCAGCTGAGAGAGGGGGTACCCGGTGCTTTACTTGCAAAGAAGAGCAGATTTTGCTGCACCACAACAGCACTGGTGTTCTTCCCTGCTCTGAAGTAAATTTAAGGGCCTGTAGGTTCACATCGACACTGCCGAGCCATGCAGCACTGACTGCCCATCCTGCTGTCCCTGATAGCTGTGGGATTTGCCTCAGCACCAGAGCTTGAAGTAGAAAGGGTCAGAGAGACCAGCAGGGGTCTCAAATGTCTGCATTTATTTTCTGATGAGGCTCAGGTGAGAAACAGACAAATTAGCCCCAGACTCTGCTGCCACAAATGACCCGTACTGACTCTGCATCTTCTGAAGACAGACTTGGCTTTCGATTTCTGCTCTTTCTAGGCAGTCCATCAGTTCCTCATGGCACGTCTTCCTCCTTTCTCACTTGTGTAAGGCATTGTAGCCAGTGACTTATTTCCACGAGCAATTTTTTCACAGAGCAAGCTGGGCTTGCATTGTAATGCAGCTCTGTGCTTGCATTTGTTTATGTTTATGAAAGTAAATAAAAATTTGTAACCTGTTTTTTTATTAGAGCTCAAGACTTTCCTGTATGTTTCTAAGTCATTCTTCCAGAAGAAACACAAAACCGTGTAACCATGTTCTGCAAGTTAAACAAAGAATGAAGCACTTTCAAAGTGCTTCTGTGATTTATATATACCTAAAGTGTTTGTATTTAATGACTTTGGTGTTTAACAAACTTCTGTGGAGATCATCTTAAAGCATTTCAATTCACCTTTAAAATTAAACTGCAGACATCCCTGAAATCCATGTGGGTGCAGCATCGTTCTGGGCTTTAACTGCTGAAAGGCTGCTCCTCCCCGTGAGCATCTCCTCCTGCACTGGCACCGTTTCATACTAACTTAATCCGAGATGAAGATTTGCCCACAGCGATCCTGAGCTGCAGTTTCCCCTGTGGAGGACAGAGCAGGGAGAAGGAGCTCTGGGGAGAGGGATCAGGGTGCAGAATATGGGTCCTTGGCCCAGCCTGGAGATCTGGTTAAAAGTGCCTCAGGAGCTGGCACCCAGTGACTCTACCCAACTACCTAGCATGGCCTCACCAGGCTGCCATCAGAGAGCATTGGGTCCCCCCCAAAATGAAGTGACAGTGACTTTCTTGTTAAAGAAAGGGGCTGGGCTGAGAGGTTGTACAACAGATCACCAGCATGGGACGTCTCCAGAGAGGCAGGAACCTGACCAGTGCATCCTTAGTCTGTCAGGACCAAGTGTAGATTCAACCCAAGGTTTGAATCCACATAAAAACCATCTGCAGTCTGTTGGCGGAGTGTCTTATACACACCTGTATTTAATGTGAGGTGGTATTTTTTTCCTGTGATGAGCCCACTGCTCCCACAGGAGTGAACTTTCCTTTGCCTGACTGACATTTCTCTGTCACAAAATGGCTGCGCCTCCCCACAGCTGCCTGGGGCTTTGCTTCTCAGGGCAGGGTTTCACCTCTGGTGGTTTAATCCCAGTGATTTTTATCATCTTTTAGAGTAAGAGCGTTGTGTGTTGCAGCATGGGCAGCTTTATTCTTCTTTACTCTCCATCAATATCAAAGTCTCTTCATACAATGCCACATAGGATTTGGGCTGTTCTAACAGGTTTTTAAAAGTTTTAAGAAGACGGTAAATAAGACTTCCAACAGTGCTACCAGGGCCCATCACTTGACTAAATCAGTCAGGGCAGTTTTATTTTCCTAAACATGCAGCAGCCACAGAGTCTTCAAAAGCAATGGTGATGCATGCACTAGTTGTTTTCTATATAGGATAACTTAGAGTTTGGGGTAATTAGGTGTGGAAAATCTTTATGAAACAACGCAAAGAGGGTCTTCGCTGTCTCAGACCCAGTGCCACCGCATCTTTTTCAGTCTCTTTCGTGTAGTTTTCTGCCATCTGGTGGCTGGAAATGACGAGTCGGTGCCGGCGAGAGGGGGGGGGGATTTGCTTTAAATCAGGGAAGTTTGTGCAAGGAGTAAAAAAATGACAAAATGAAACCTTCTGGCTCAGAAAGGTGCCCCAGGGCAGGCTGGAGGTGGCTCTGGTCTGGTCTAAGTGCTGGCCACCTCTCCCCCCAAAAAAGCTGAAACCTACCCTGGGTTTCTGTAGCTCAAACAATGATGCCATCACAGAATCACAGTGACCGCTGTCTGGTCCCACACTAGGGGACAAAGTGGTCTGCAGCAGCCCCTTGGGCCATGCTGGGGCAGAAAATACATCACCTTTAGCCCCATGCTCCCTGTAGGGCAGAAAAATCCAGGTGTAAATGTAGGTGTGCATTATGCTGTCCCCCCCATGCTCATTTCCATGCTCACATGCAGCCCCTCCACTGATTCAGCGCTGACCCAGGCCTTGCCAGCACGGCTCTGACATTGGTAAACCCATGCAGCGGTGTCAGCCCCCGCCTGCCCGTGCTTGGGAACAGATTGCAGCTTAAAAACACATTCGGTGTCATTAATTCGGTTAGGTGGCTACAGAACTGATCTCAGGCACCCCGCTGAAGTGAAGTAGCAGCCTGAAGCAGCAGTGCCGATTGAATTAACCTTTACTTGGAATGTATTTCTTTGTAAGATAAGACCTTTAGGACATAGGACTGCCATCTAAGGAGAAGACATTTCCAATTTTTAATACCAGGGAAGCACAGCACAGCTCCAGGAGCACTGATTTTAAGAAAATAAAAAATAAAAAGTTTATCAGAATTGAGTAATTTCCCAAACTGTAAGGAATGGATCTTCAATTTGGAGTAAAAAAAGCCTTTGATGGAAAGAAAATCAGAAAGCGACAAGCACTGCCATCAGCTGAATCTCACAGGAGGAAGACAAACAGATTTTCACACGAGCAGACAGCTGAGATGTCATCTTAATCTCATGAGGGTTTTATTTGCCACTAACAGCAGATGCAGGTCAAAGGAGGGGTTGCAACAGCAGATAGAGAGCAAGCGCTGCAGAAGTGCCTTGCTCTGTTTCCCTCCTGGCTCTTGCATCATTTTCATTAATTTTTTATTTAGCTACACAGCTTCTTCAGCTTCAGGTTTTATTTCCTCCTCACCTCCAAAATGCAGCAATGTTGTTACACAAGGCAGGGCCACTTTCACCAGAGAAGTCTCCTTAGGACTGTCTCAGAAGGTCTCACGGCCATTTCAGCATTGCAAGGAAAGACAAATGACCCTTCACCAAAGCACAAGTGGTTTGGCCATGTCTGGTCCCGCTGCTGCTTGAGGAAGTAATGGTGAAGGCTACGCAGGGAAGAACTGTGCCTGCTCCTGCACTGCCTATGACCCACCTTTCATCCAAAAACCTTCATTCGCACAAACCTTTTAAAATGCATCTCTGATTTGAACTGATCCGAGTAAGTGCACAGATTCTCCTTGAAAAACACAGCTTCAGCTTTGCTCGTCTTCCTTTGCTCCTTCTCTTCCATACCCATCCACCCAGCTGTTAAGCTCCCTGGGACACCGGCTGTATCTACCTGGTCAGACAGGGGTGCAAATTTTGATTGCATTTTTTTTTTTAAAGTATTTTTGTTTGAAATAAAGAACCACATTGCTGTCTAGCTACATGGACTGACGTTAGAATTATCGACTTTTAACTTGATTAATTTAATCTTATCCTCTCTGTAACAGAAGATACATGAAAGACCATCCCAGCACCCCGGCAGTCTAGACAGCAGCATACAGAAATAAACATGAGTACTCTTACCCCACCTCCAATATTTTGTTACAAGTTTTATTGCTGTTATTCCAAATATCATTTGCCATTGTCTGTTTACCTCAGTGGACACCTCATTAATACATTTAATTAAGAACATACCGGGAGTCAAATGGGTAGTTAACAGGCATACAAAGAACACCAGAGTGCATGTCCAAGCCACGTTTTAACCTGAGAAATCCAGGAGCTTTGCTCCCACAGTCCTTAAGGACATATAAAAGAATTTAAGGCACGTGTGACCTGCTGCTTTCAAGTAACAATGAGGGTAGATGGGTCATGCAGACAGCTTGGCTTCAATTACTATTTTTTGGCAATACTTGTTTCTTTCGTGATATAAAATTGAAATGTAGTACAAAAATACACCTCTTCACAGGGTCTAATAGTGCCAAGTGCAATTTCAACATTTTAATGCTATGGTATTTGAGCTTGAGGTACATTTTAAGAGTGCAAATTCTGCGGGAGTTTCTTCAGGATACCGTGTTCTGTACAAGAGATTAATCTTTTCCTCTTGATTCAAGAGGCTGCATTTAAAGTCAGAACAGTTTTTTCTTAACATCTCCCATAAGGCATATTATCCAGTGCTGTTAGCAATACCCTGATTCCTCTCACTGCAGTGGACAGTTAATGGGACACCATGATTTACAAGTTCTCTTGAATACACCTTCTACATCCGAGAGACAGCTTCGGCTTCTTTTTCTTCTTTTTCTTGTAAGTCTGGATCCTTTTTCACTTGTTTTTCTTCTTCATCAAGTTGGGCTTCAATCTCATTTGGATCAATATAAGTATAAAAATAAGCCATGATGGAAAAAATAATGCAAACTGCAAACAGCAAGGCAGCAAACAGCACATACTCTGCCCACTGTAAAAAAAACAAAACAAAACACAAATGTATAATTAAGTCGTCAATAGTCATTCCTCCAAAGAATTGCACCATCTTACTGTTTGCAAGGAATTAAGTTAATTCCAAATGTGGAACTGAGCACACAGAACCAGTAGAGTATGACTTAAAGGAATAAGTATTAGATGTGTACAACAGATACTAAAGCAGCTCTAAATTGAGACCCTTTCAGCTGTTGTCTTCAATGAAAAGTGAAAAGAAGAAGTCCTGTGCATGCTGAAAAGTTTCATAGTATCCTTCTCATGGAAGTGTGGGAATGGACCAAAAAGATTGAAGAAGAAATTCAGCCCCTCCTTTTGGCCAAAGGGCAAGAGGGTAAGGCAGTCTCATTTTCAACCAGGCTGGAAGGGGTAAAGTTTCTACTGACCTGGGTGGAGAGTGAGACTAGTACTACAGCTGACTGGTAAACTCTTCTACCTAAGACTAGCCTCGTGTATTCCAGTTGAAAATACAACTCCACTGTAATAGCTGATGTTCAAAAGTTATGACTGAGGGTTATCGGCTGTGACTCCCCCCTGTATTAGGGCTGCTATTTAATAGTGTAATACAGTAGTACACCAATGGCCTGTGCGCTTACCTGCTGACTGAGTTTGGATGCTCCAGCCACGATAAGGACAATTATGTTACCGACAGCCACTGTCAGCAGCCATCCGGCCTGCAGCACTGACTTCATGTTAGATGGGGCCTACAGAGACAAGGCACGTAATTTTTAGTCAAACACCGCTAGCACTTGCTGATGTTTACAGCATTCTTTACTTTATAACAAGCACTGGTTCCCTAAACAGACCCAGGGAAAGCTTTGGGGAACAAGAGCTTTCTAATAGTGGCTGTAACACCTATGTTGTACGCACCAAGGAGCAGGCACATTTTGCATTTGGCTCAGTCTCACATGATACACGCCAAATGAAGAAACTGAGCACATCACAGGCAAGCAAGCCACAACTTATGTTCCCATCATTGCAGTATATAGACTTAGAATTAAGGTAAGAAACACACAGCAAATAATACAAACTGAAGTCAGAAGACAGGGCAATTCATAGTGTATAATTAAACTGCTGCTAAACGCTGCGTGGGAAAAGAAAATAATTAAGCCAGTGCAACCTTGAAGATAAGGTACTGGCTCATTTTATAATTGAGAAGTCTCCAGTTTGCTTTTACAGCAGCAATACAGTTCTATTTATTTTCAATGGAACGTCACATGTCGGGTGATTTGAGGACTGGTGATCAAGTCTTCATGTGATATAATTCAAAATAGCTCCACGGAGAACACTGGATGCTTAGTGAAACAAGCCCATTCTGCACCAGCCTACAGTTCTTCTAGGGGACTCTAAAGATACCTCTGCTTTGTTTGAACGACGAGGGAACAACCTCTTAATAAGAAGAGGTCACAGAAGATTTTGATTTGTACCAGGGTAAGGACTTAACTCATGACTCTTAACGCAGTGAGGGCTCTGAGTGGCAAAACCTACCTGTGAGTATGAAAACTCCAGCCCAGTTACAGAGAAGACTACTTCTCCACATGTTAGAATAAAATACTGAGGGATCTGCCAAGCCATGTGAACTGTATTGGGTGGAATATCTTGACTGTAGTTTAATGCAGCAACATTTCCAGAACACTGAAAATTAAAAGGACACATTAGGAACAGCAATAACGAGTCTGTACACTAAGGGCAACCTAAACAGTTCCACATCATTTATGTAATTATATGTACGTACACAAAGTTCTGGGAGAGTAAGAATATTATATATGAAGCACCACACAGCAAGTTGTAAAGTGGTAATTATTTTACAGCAGAATCCATGCAAATCCATAGTAAGGCTAAGAATTTAAAGCCATTAGTGATGAACATGAATTATTGCATTATATCATTATCATGCTCATCATTACCTTTGTTAATGAAGTGTTTATGTTCAGACAGTTTAACATATGAGAATTCTACCATACGTATAATTAAAGGCAAGAGAAATAATTGTTCGAGTGTTTTTTAATTAAAGAATATTAAAATGAAAAGAACTAGTGTCCATCCAACAGCACCTCACCTCATTAATTATAATTGTATATGCACCGCCAAATCCAAGTGAGTTTGAAGTAGCTGTACAGCTATCTGCATTTGTAGAAACCACAATCTTATCTGTTCTGTAGAAAGAAAAGACCACAATTCAGTCCATGGCTACAGACAATTGTGTGTAGTATATGAAAAGCTTCCATGTCCTTTTCCAAGGACAAGTATGTCTTTTTCTTTAAGGGGTTAGATTAAGGTGCAGGAAATGCTTACCTGCCTCCTGAAAAAACACTGTAATTAGTGGCAGAGAGAGGTGTCAGTTCTCCAAAATCCGCACCACCCATAGTGACATTGACTGTCCAAGGCGAATTGTTTATGAATCTTTAAAATAAAAAGGGATGAATACTTTGCTTAGCATTACAAAGAATACAGGTTTTAGTTTATATATTAACAGCACCATGAGTATTAAGCCTTCCCCTTTCACTTTTGAAAATTAACACTTTTGAAAGATCTGTAAATCTCTTAAGACATGGCTAATGCAAGAAGCGAGCTAGATCCAACATCGTCCCACTGCTTGCTTAGGGAAATGTCAGAAGCAAGCATTTACTTCAGTCAGTAACAAATGCATCTGCAAAGGGAAGACGTGGAAGAAAAATGGACAAGCGGTAGGACACTTCTTACCTGAGATTAAAAAGGAGGTAGACATCTATATCTGTGCTTGTTGTCAACAACAACAAAAAAGTCTAGACAGTAGAGTGAAACACTCACTGCCAAGATTTAGCTAAGTTATACCCAAAGTAGATATGCAAGATAGCTCAGATGAATTGTGTTCTGGAAGTTCCTACACCCCCTAAGCATCTGAGTGAGGGGTACAGCAAGTGGAGAGCTCCTACAGTACAGAAAGTGACATTGAGCAAGAAGAGTCCGCCCAAGAAGTAGATTGAAGAGGCAGTCGCACCACTGCAAAGCGGAGGAGCAAAACAAAATTTACCTGATAAGATTCTTTCCTTCTTCTGGTTTTGATGTGACATTGTCAAACAGCTGGTGGAAGAGACCATTATCAAGAGGCTTAGTAAGCATCAGTGGACAGCCTAAATGTGCACTATTACATACAAGCAAAAGCCAATAGAGGCTTCAGAGCCAATAGAGGCTCCAGACGTTACTACTAGGATAGGTCTCTACCAGAAAATGCTGTAAGGCCACACATTTAAGCCTCTTTGAAACCGTCAAGTTAAGTTGACCAAGTGTCTTTTTGTTTGCTTTGTAGGGTTATTTTGTCCCAGCATCCTGCCCTGCTCTCTACAGCTCAGTCTTGCTGGTGCAGTTTTCCCTCAGGCAGCAGAGAGGGGGAGAGGGAAAACAAAACGAAAGAGAGGCTCCCCAGAGCTTGCCCTCTGAGCTTCCCACACTCCATGTAGATAGCTGCTAAGACATTAACAAATTTCTTAGGATTTAGGCAGACTTACCAACTGAGCGTCAATGCCTGACACGGTATTTTTAACCGTGAGAGTGTACCGCTCTCCGCCTGTGATGGGGGCATTTAGAGTTGTGTTGTTACTTCCATAGGCTACCACTACATGTTGCAACCGGGAAGTCTCAAACGTCCTGTAGTCCGTCTACAAAGAAGACAAATTGCTGTGAATTTCCACGCAACTGCGTTTGCCTATACCTTTGAGGAAATGCTCGATTCAGTGGGTCGTAAGTTTACTTCTGAAGTAACAGAGATCACGAGCATCTCCTCACTTCCATTTTTGTAGTTTTCTATGTCAGACACTAATTTTGTTTGATCGATATTTATGACTATTTTCTTCCTTTACACAAATGTTAAAGTACTACAAACTTCCTACAAGCATTATGGAAGAGCTGTTACATTTTCCTGTGTATTGCTTTATCCAGCTAAATCAGGTTTGCCACCACCAAGCCAAATTATGTTTTAGCAATAAAGACAGCAATAGCATGAACTAGAACGCAGCATTTTCCAAATGGCCCCTCCTCCTACAAAATGCTAATCCAAACTGCACCTTTTGGGTTTCAGCATAACAGAAACAACTATTACCAGGATACGCATTTTAGATATTCTAGCTACATTTCAGAAGCATAAAATATGGAAAGCAAATATTCTTTAATAAACATGTTGATATGTTATCGGTGTATAGAATTCAATCCAAAACATCTTGATTATAAGACATCCACCGTAGGGAGTAAAACATTTCACGTGCTTCGTATTCAGGTGTTTGTCATGGTTATATGAACTTCACATATGGAAACAGGGCAGCAGGCTACCAGAGAATATACTTGTGCTGCTAAGACTTCCTTGCATCCATTATTTAAAAGGTCCATCAGCTCCACTGCATTTTGCTGTCAGTATAGCTAACAGTCAAAACCCTGCCGTAAAGGAACCTGAAAAGGTTCTTTGACAGCAAGGTCTAAAGCCTGAATGATGTAGCCACACAAAAATCTCCTTGTTCACACAAGTGATCTCTTACAGTAAGTGCACTGACTTCCTAGACATGGATGGATGTCTTTTTTTTTTTTTTAAGTCAGGGCTGTTCTTACTGTTAAGAAATGGCATCTTTTTAAGCAAGAGTGAAGTTTTCAACTAATTGAAAGCCATTACTAAGTATATTACTAGCATATTAACTCATTCTCCTTAGGATATTGAAATAGGTACTATTTCTTTATTCCCTGTATGCTTTCAGTAACAATTTATTCCACAAGAGGAAGAAATGCTTAAAATGAATAGAGGAAAAAAACTAGAAAAGAATCAATTTTGAGCCATTAGTTAAGAACGACTTTGACTTGCTCCATTCAGCTTTTTGACTTGATGTTCCCCATCTCCCCTTACTTACCCCATGCAGAGGTTCTACGGTCACATTCACATTCTGAGGTAAAAATGTTACTCTTGCATTATCAGCACCTAGATTTATTGTTTTGATTTGGGACTGCCCAGATGCAGGGAAAACTGGGAGGGTTTTCTGTAGGATAGAAAGTGGAATCAGTGCTCTATCTTAAGTCACATGAGAAAGGTACTACAATTACTGCACTCTTATTTATCTCGTGACGAAGACTGCCATTTACCTGATGATCTGTGGTTATTAGTTGTAGGGATGCAATTTTAATAACTGTTTTATTTGCTAGTCTCACAAGCTGTCTTGCTATCAAGGCCACTCTGCAGGTCAGGGAGCAGTTTTCTCCCACATCCTATGGGAGTCTACGTTTCTGAACTTCTTTGTACAATGTTCTGCCTCTTTTTCCCATCACTGGTGCTGCTGAACTGGCCAGAAGCAGGTACAGGCACCGTGTGGTGTGAGAGTCCAAAGAAACAGAGCAACTTCTGGAGACTCCACCTTCCATCAGACGTAACAGTAAGTACCTTCTGCTCCTGCAGAGCCTCAAGAGCTGCAGGAGCTGTATGTACGTATTGCAATTCTGCCTTGACCTTCCTCTACTTGTCTTTTTCATTCTCTTTAGGTACAAACACACAACAAAAAAGGTCCAAATCTTCCCTTCTACAAAAAGTTCCTGTGCAACAGTCGAGGAATTTGCCAGCTCTGGCCACGCTTCTGCCTAGTGCAGGTACATATCTATGTTATGTCTATGTACATGCCCTGTCCCTCCCCACTGAAGGCCAAACCTTTTACTCTCAGCTTGGAGACAGAGGTGAGTATAAGGCTTGTTTCACTGCTGAACTCAGACATCAAGGAGGGAGCTCCTCATTCCTAACTCAAGCTTTTTAAGAGCTGAGCATCTTATCTCAATATCATGTGAAGACAGGCAGACAGCTCTGGATGGCAATTCAGATCTTGGGATACCATCATCACTGCCCAAAGTGTCAGACTCCCCAGCTACATGGAAAAACCTACATCTTTCAGGCATGACACCTCCCTCTGAAGCAAGCAAAGCCAGGTGTGATGAGTCCTGCCTGAAACAGGAATCATTTTTACTGATGGTATGATAACACTTTGTGGCCTTTCACCTCCAGTTTAGATGTCAGAAGAGATCAGAGATGAAAAGCAGCTCCCCGATAGGGAAAAACTCTGCTTTTCAGCTTTTAATCTCAGTTTAAAGACCTGAGGTTGCCTTTAATGCATGATTTATGATAATGGCAGATGAGATGTTTGGCAGTATGGTGTTTGTAGGTAGCTCTATTATGCTAATCACACTGCATTGCAATATACTTTATATTTTTCCTCCCTCTACTTCTGTGATCATATGCTTGGTTCCTAAGTTACAACTATTTTATGCATCATATTTGGCTCATTTTCACCCTAAACAGACTGTTCTGCATTAACAACGAAGTATTCAGTACTTGCACAAGGCTGAACTTACGTCTATTTGCAGTTGCACAAGGGCAGCAGCAATGAAAGCCAGTCCAGCAAGGAACATGCCAACAGTGATCTTCCTCAGAGGCCTGGTACAGCAACAAAAGATATATGCAAATTAAGACAAATATTAATTCAAAACTTTCAGTGTGAAGTTTTCTTTCTGAAACAGGAAACCAAAACGACTACAGATAGGATATTGTCACTGTCCAAAGGGCTGATGTTAGATGAAGTATTCAGCTACACCGAGTACCTCTTAGTGTTAGTTCAGAGTTACACTACTGGGAAATTAAGTTTCCTGCAGCATCTTAACCTGTAACTCTGCATCTGCTGGGCTCATTCCTAGAGTTAACCATCATCTAAACAAAACTGTTGTTAGGTTTCTGTATTTGAGCTGAGAAAATCAGATCTACATAAAGAAAAAAAAATCCAGTACAGCTGGTATCTTAGAAACGATGAACAGACAAAAAGTTACACCTTCTGCAAAAGGATAGCAACTTCTATCCATATCGCTATGTGTAAATCGAAATAATGAATGGAAAAAGTCAGGGAAATATATTGAATTGGGAGACATCTACTGACATCCAGTTAAGTGCTAAGGGTAAATTTAAGGTAGATATTTTATTTATGGCAACAATTGTCTGATTCAGAGTGCCCACAAATGAACAGAAGTATTTCCAGCCCAGCACCACCCACCACCCCTATTTTTTCAATTCTTCGTGGAAAAGTAAGATTAGCAGAAAACACTAGCAGTAGACAGCCTCTCTCCTGCGATCAGAAGATTTTGCCCTTAGCTTGAAGAAAAATCACATTGTCACTGTGCTATTAGATTCTTCTCCTCTAGGCTGTGATGCCTTCATGCCCCATTTGTAAAGTCCTTCTTTTATTATTATTATTTTAAATATTAACCCCACTTTGAATACAGCATTATTTTTTCCTTAGCTGGAAGCTTGCTTTTGTTTAGGGCCAGAAGAGCAGCTTAAAGAAACCACTAAAATGAGCCTCTGCTGAAGTCAGGTAACCACGTCAACTTACGTAAAATTGATCTTGCATTTCTTGATTAAAGGGTAAATCACAGCATCCATAATTGGCACCATTATAACAATCAGGATCGGATTGACAGTCTGTTAAAGATGAACATAATAAGGGAAAAAGGTAAGTATTTTCAAAGTCCTTTTTATGAAGGGCAATAATATACGGGTATCATCTTTGGGAAGTACTTAGGATTGTCAGACAGAAGATTACTATACCTGCATTTGGTCTGGCTGAATCTGAATAGCTCCCTGGTGGAAAAGAAAAAAAGATAAATAGGATTTAGTGTTATGACAACAAACCAAACTGATAGGAAAAGTAAATGTTAGGGAAAAAAGGCAAAAAGAAAAAGTAACCTACAAAGTTCCCATCCATCGTGGTGGCTTGCAGTGTCCATCTTGAGCCCTTGACAGAAGAAGAGAGAATTAAATCCCACAGTTAATCAGCCTCCTGAAGTTCCTCTTGAATTGTTTTAAGTAAAGTGTTTGGAAAGGTGTCTGCCTGATCGCAGCAGGGCACGCTCACAGTTACAGCTCACTGGTAAAAATGCGTGATGCAGCCAGGCTGGGCCAAACTTAATGTGCTCTGCCTTAGATAAAGCTTCCAGGCACCAGTTCTCTCAGATACCCTCCTAAATTCATACTTCAGTACCTGAAACTATGAAAACCTGCTTTCACGGGTCATGAGCACTCCATCCAAGACAACGACAAGCTTATGCTTAAAGGTGTGAGGCTTAAAGGTGTGAGTATGTGTGACAAACTAATCACTCTGATTAAGCAGGCTGGCACCCAGCTCATCTCCTCCCTGGATCTCCAGAGCACTTACAGTAGGACCCTGCACTGCACCTCGACTGACAGCGAAGAGGAGTTGGAGCCAAGAAAGCTTTAGATTCCTGTCTCATCACTGTCCTACACAAGATTTGGAGGGGCTGAGCTCAGAGTCACTGGGAATGCCCAGATAAATTGGATTTCAGCTGGCTGCTCTTGGACCACAGGACACTGTGTGAACGTTGACTCAGAATAAGCACAGTGCATTACAATCAGGGTAAGGAATCTGCAGAGAAGTGCTTTTCACCCTCACACGGGCACTTTCCTAGGTGCAGTGACTCCACAATGCGTAGCGACATGGCACAGCTGTAACTGCAAAGCCAAACCATTTCTGCTTTACCTGCTGGTCGAAAAGTGCCCAGAACATGGGGAGTGGGATGTAAAGGAACAGCACCTTCAGCACCATCTTAGTCTGAGTAATCAGCCGTTTCTGCAGTGAAGGAGAATGTTAAAAAAAGGAATTAGTGAAAAAAACTCAGACAGTTCCCCTGCTGTTCACCGCACAGCAGCAGGTGGAGACATGAGACCTCTCGTGCAGTGTTTACCCACATCCTGAACTTTGGATGCTGTGGGTGCTTCTGCTGACTTCTGTTAAAAAGCACAAGGTCTGCTTTTGGGTGTGGGGAGGGCTGCTGGTTAAAGGTGACACTGATAGCAGAAAAGCTTCTTGCCATGCCCACACTGCAACGGCAGCAGAAGGTTTAGCTCCTCACTGCTCCGTTTTCCCAGTAGGTTTTAGCAGCACTGCGTAGGAGGAATTCAAAGGATGGGGAACTGAGGAATGCACTTCACACGTGCAAAATACACATGGGCAAAAGTAAAATAAAGGGAAGAGGCTAAGATTTGCGCTGCCATTGACAGCAGGGCAAGGTGGACAGGAGACCAGGGAGCACGGGACATGGTCGGGGGACTGTGGGACACAAGGCCATCAACTTCTACATGGCTGTGAGGCCCAAAATTATTTACCTAGCACTCAAAGCAACGGATCAGAGCAGACAGCATAGGAGCTGAGGGCCAGGGGATGCCGAGGCACAGGAGTGCTCACACGGTACTTACACTGTACTTCTCGCTCGCCCAGTCTAGCCAGTGCTCTCTCTTGGGGTACGCCTTGCTGCGATGCCGGAACCTGTTTTTGATGGCAAACTGGGGAGAGACCATTAAAACTTTGTTTAATGACGTTTCAAACATTTCTAAGACTATCAGCTGTTTCATAAGTAAAGGAGACCTCTGCCACCTCCTCTAAGCATCTACAGGAATAATGAAGGTAAGGCATGAAACCACCCATACAGTGAAGTGTGCACCTGGAACTAGGTAAACCAAACAGCTCAGAGCGACTCTGAGCAGCTCTAAATGTGGGTGGCTGTTAGGTCTTGAAGGCCTGCCTACTTAAGGCTAATACATATAGCAATCAAGAATGTCATCTGCACAGCTCTTCAGAGCTGAATGGCTACAAGAGCACATTTCACTCTAAAAAACTGTATCTTGTAGAAATTCCTTCATACTTAACATACGCAAATATAGTCCTGAAGGAATCCACAAACTTTCATAACATGCATGGCTGAGCTGGACTGGGCTCTAGGGGAAGCACTCTAAAGTGACAGTAGAAGTCACATAGAGAGATTTGTTTTCGGCAGTGCTTACAGGACAAGCAAGGTCTGGGCTGTAACAAGCTAGCAGAGCTGCGTGGGGAATGAAGAAGCTCAAAAATGAAAAGTCCCCTGATCTCAGAGTTGAGACACTGCCAAGTGTGGGATGCGCAGTGCTACTCAACGCAGATTTAGCTCCCTTCCTTGCAGGCTTGCTTATATATCAGCATTTATGACAGTAATATTTATATATCAGTATATACTATATTGATATATAATCCCCTGACCTCCTTAATACACTGGGGCTCAATATACCTCTGCATTGTAAACAAGGCCTTATTTTCCTAAGCAATACGTTTTTGCTGATAAGATATCCCAGCACCTCTGTTCTTGACTCAAGCCATTGCACACTTGCCTGTCTTCCTACAAGGCTACAGAAAAGTACATGAATGAGCAAGAGGAGGATTCCCTGAGGTTGGGATAAGCTTTTACACGTGATTAACATCTTGCTTTGTCTTCTGTGTGTGTAAATTCAGATATAAACAGAGACAGGTAAATAAAAAAGGCAATCTAAATCTGGAGATACCAGTAAAAAGTGTTCTGGAAAGAAGAGTTGAAAACTTCATAGGTTTTCCTCGTAATATATAGATTTCTGCTCTAGGCAAGTGAACTGAGCAGCTTTGAAAATTCCTGTCAGGCTTTCTGGGAGCACAAGCACTACTTACTCCAATGCATTTGCAAACTTGAACCATTATATTGCCTTGAGGTTGAACTTTTTTGTACATGCCGCTTCCAATCACGAACACAACTACAATAAGCAAACAGAAAGCAATTTGTGATTAACTGAAAACAGTGGCCAAAAAAAAAAAAAAAAAAGGTTTTAAAACCTTAACAATTAAGCAATTGCATCAGGCTGAAAGTAAAATTTTTAAGGCACAATGAATGTGACTATTGCCATGCTACTATGTGGTAAAAGAAATCAAATTAGTATCAGCAGATTGCTATGAGTTATGACACAGGACTAAATCCTAAAACTCCTGGGGTAAGTAGCCATCCTCGGTGGGACATGCGTTATGGCCAAATTGAGAACCACTCTGGACCTTCTCTTTGGCCTTGATACATCTGATTAAAAGCTTAATGACTGCTTTTCATGAGCCAAGGGCACTGCATCTTACATCACGCAGGGACACGTGAGGTTTCACCTGAACTACAGCACTTGCCAGCACTCACAGCTCCCACGGACACGTTCCCTGGCCTCACCCTCCCACGTGCTGGGCAAGGTAATGGGCAAACACCCGAAGCTGCCATCGCCCTGGGTTGGGTGCACTGATAAGATGGGGGCACCAATAGCTGGGTAGGCTCCTGGTCAGGTCCCTCATGGAGAGGGATACCATGGCATACACCAGCCACTCCATCGGGAGAGAAACAAAAACAAACAAACAAAAAAGACAAAACCCCCAAAAGTTGCCTCTACAGGCACCAGGTTCTTGGTCTTTGCACTGCAGCCAAAAGGCTCAGGGACTAATCTGTGGTACAGCTAGTAAAAATGCAATAGCTTGATAAATACTGGCACACCAGGATGGTATTTCACAAGTGCAAGGACAGAAAATTACCTTGCATAGTTCACCGTGCTGAGCTATGAGTAATTTCTGAAAACCACATTTTCCTTAAGGTCTCATCCTTCATTCAAAAGATCATTTACTTCTACAACCCAGTAGGCTAAGCGATATAGACAGTATATTGCATGACAAGTTTCATATCAGAGATTGATATCTGGAGATTTCAACCACTTTCTTATTATTTGGAAATCACTATCACCTAACCATATCTACAACTGAAGCAGCAAGATGCAAACAGTTCAACTTACTCAATGAAACAGCCATGAGGGCAGCGGGAACTCCAAACGCCAGTGGGTAGCACTGCTGCTTGCTGTGAATGCCACACTGTTGAGCTGAAACACAACGCAGTGTTAGATACAAGCCCCAGGGGCTGCTGCCAATGTTTCACATAGGGTTTCTATTCATTGCATTCATTGTTGACTCTTTAGGATAGTGCTCACTTTCAGAGTCAATCATGTCCTGGTGGCTTCTGAAGGTCTCCAAGGAGGAGACCCCACAGCCTCTCAGGGCAGCCTGTGCCAGGGCTCCCACACCCGCACAGCACAGCAGTGCTGCCTGGTGCTCAGAGGGAGCCTCCTGGGGGCCAGTTTGTGCCCACTGCCTCTGGTCCTGGCACTGGGCACCACCAAAAGAGCCTGGCTCCATTGTCTTCATCCCCTCCCTTCAGGTATTTGTATACATTGATGAGATCCCCCTGAGCCTCCTCTTCTCCAGGCTGAACAGTCCCAGCTCTCTCAGCCTCTCCTCATAGGAGATTTAAATTTAGTTTTACATGGGGGAAAGAAGGATCACATTAAAATGGCCAAATTCATGTTCTTGGGGAGAAAGGACCTAGATTATAAAGGCTTTGGGACAAGTTCATAAGTGAAGATAAGTAATATAACAAGTGTAACTTGTGAAAAATATGCACACACAAACACACCCCTGGCCAGTAGTTGGTGATTATTTTTCATAAGCTTCACGCACACATGCTGAAATGATGCTTTGAGTGTGGATGTAGCAACTAATAGGGAAAAGTAACAAAAGACTAAAAGTAACAATTTTCACCATACCTCTATGAAAGAACCAAATAGATTCATTAGAAAAAAGATAGCTTGCAGCTAATTAATGTGTTGATTTGAGTTATATATTATCTTTTTAGTTAAGCTGTCACAGAAAGTAATGGTATCACTTTCCTCAGCTGCTTTTGCCAGTTTTCCAAGGTGTTCTTCACCCTGTATGAGCATGGAAGCAAGCTGCACGTTGTACCATCTGCACACCTCCTTCCATTTTCGGAAAGAAAAGAATTTGCATTAAGCAAGCACCTAAAATGCTCGGCGCAGTCTGTTCCACTCAGCTGCTGTCAAAGAATCCAAGAGCCAGGATTTCAGCCCAGTGCTTTAGGATTATTCCGGAGCTTGCGTTCTATTTTCTTGCTTTTGAGAAAAACAGCCTTCCTCAAACTCATGCCAAGCACATCCCTACCCCATCTGCATAAACTTGCAATGAAAATCTCTATGCATATGGATCAGTGAATTGGTCTGCTTTTCGTTCAGAATCATGCTGCTCACTATATTGTATCCCTTCAGAAGTACTAGATCTGAAGGCGATTCAGATCTGAAACTTTTTTTTTTTGCTCATCCATAAGAAATTGGATGACATAGAAGACAATACGAAGACTGATTTACCTGTTCATTTAAGCCTAAATGACTGCAATCCAATGCTCATCCTTTATTTAACTCTTCTACGAATAAACGACTGGACTTACCTCTGAGAATTGGGGTGATTACAGTGGATATGAGACTTCCAGCATTAATGGCCAAATAAAAGAGAGAGAAGAATCTGCTTCTTTGTTTTTCCTACAGTAAGAACGAAGATGGTTTTAGAAAGGGTTTGCCAGAGTCATGTTGATCATCTTAGACTGAACCATCAGCAGCTCTGCACAGTTCAAGACGAGCAGTTATCTACATTGTTCTTTAGGTATCCAGGAAACTCTAAAATAAGGCACTTGTCTAAATACATACATCAGATTACTATAATAGTCAGGCATTAATATGAACATGTACATGACTAAAAATCTGAAATACATTCTTACCTGATGATCTTCAAACTGATCTCCACCAAACGCCGACACACAAGGCTTGATGCCACCAGTGCCCAGGGCAATGAGAATCAAGCCAGTCATGGACAGGGCACTAGGACAAAGTAGAAAAAAATGAAAAAAAGAAATCTCTCTGCTGTCTTAGTTACAGCATGCGTACAAGGCTGAGTGCAAGACAGTTGAAATAAAAGTAGCATCAGTTTAAGGCTTAAATGGTTCCCCCCACCTGCATGGAGAACACACGTGTACAAGGCAACTCACATGTGCGTCGCAATGCTATCCGGAGCGCCGTCTCTGTTGTGGTCTGTCAGGTCATTGATGGAGCTGACAGCCATGACTGCCTGCCCGATCGTGTAGACAATGGACAGGGAGACAATGGTCCTGTTATAAAGAGAGGAGATAAATTTTTATATACATTGACAATTACAGGGTGCATACATACACATAATTATTGCAGACTTTTGCTTATTCCGAAGACGTTTAGCAAAGAAACATAACTAACAGATATGACAAGTTATGGACTCAGCTTACCACAAGCTGCTGCAAAAAAATCTTTCCGCATACCTCTGTCACAATAGTATTTCTACTACAATTATTTTGTTTAACAGAATTACTTTATAAAGCCCTGTTTAACTAAGCAAGGCAAGATGACCAATTCTTCTTTCTTGTGTGGAAGAACATTCTCCATCTGAACCTTGTGAGAACTTACGTGTTTGACTATAGCTCGTGTTCAACTGCTTTTGTGGCTGGGACTCCATTCAATAGGCACAGACCCAAGTTTGCTTGGAGGATAAGCAGGAGAAATAAGATGCAGTGATGCTAGGTTATTTCAAAACTGACTGCAGAAGCAGCGGTCCCAAGTGCAGAGCAGCCCATGAGAATGAAGGGACCTAGGCCAACCCAAATGTGTTTGATGAAGGCAGGAGACCCTCACAGCAAGCTTGGAGCACCGTGACACAAGAGCAACAGAGGAAGCATCGCTCATCCCATTGACCAAGTTCTTCTCACTTTAAAACAGGATTCACCTAATTTTGATAAACGCTCTTCACTCTATCAAGGTATAAATCTATACAAAGTGGGGCAACGGTGAAGCTAAATGTGCTATGTAGTGGAACCTACTACCACTTTTTTTTTGTTGTTTAAAAAAAATAACTTTTTAAAATAGCACTTCCTTGTGCTTTCTGTAGTTGCTTGGCTTAACAACTTGGGAAAAAGTTTCCAATGGAAAAGGAACCTGAGCTGACCAGGGAGAAACTTGTGGCTTTTATCTGGGAGGCATGCTGTGAAGAGAGTACTTGCATGATTGGCACTGCATATACGTTACTCAATTAGAGAGAAAAAAAAAAAGAAAAGTAATTTTTATAGTTTCTGCACTGTTTTCCCCAAGAACGTCACATCTAACGCCATCTGGAGCAGACCCCAGCATGCTCCTTGGCACATGCTGCACAAAGTACATAGATTGAGGCTCTCCTGTGAGCGTTTAACAAAGTTTGGGTAACCTCCTCTGGCTTTTGTCATCACAGATATTTATACAAGCATTATTTCAGCCTTCCTCACTGCACCCTATGGTGTTTTAAGGTACCTGTGTATTAAAACCAGCAAGCAATTAGATCATTTTTCAAATGCATGTGTTTTCTTGCTGAGCTGCAGTCCCAGTGCTAAGCTCTGAGCAGTCCGACCGAGCTCCTGCGAGGGGGCTGGCAGCTGTGCCACCAGTGCACACAGTTACCAGCAGGGAAGGGATGCAAGGTCTGCAAAGCTTCAACTTGATAAAACAAGACAAAATGGAGTTTTTTTGTGCTTGTTTTTGTTCATTTTTCCCCTCTTCTTCTCATTCAGGCCAGCTACAAAGAGCACAGCTGGCAGGGGCTGAAGACAACGCAGCCTGCCTCATCTCTAATCTCTGGGAGACCTTTGACAAGACAACAAGCGTTCCTGACTCATAACCTTCAATAAAAATCTTTACTGGGCTTTTTCTGGCAAAGTAAACACTATTAGAATCATGACACCAGTAAAGGAGAGCCAGGTCATGTTGTTAGAAGCAATTTGGCTACACTTCGGAGCATGACTTCAGCATGACTTCGGAGTGACTGCGTGCACACAAGAACAGAGTTTGTCCTCTTAAAAAGCTGCAGTTCAGTAAAACCGCCCACCGAGATGTTAAGTCAATACTGAAATTAGAGAATACTTAGAGATAAATAATTAGAGAACAAAATCCTGGAGTTTTTTTTGGGGTGGGCAGTAAGCACTCACTTAAACTTTCCCAGCCAGGAGTCTGCTATGAGTGCTCCCAGGATGGGCGTCAAGTAGCACAGAGCAACGAAGGTGTGGTAGATGGCTGTGGAAAAGTTGTCATCCCAGCGCAGGAAGTACTTGAAATACAGAACGAGCACAGCTGTAGGGAGAACAAAATAGCAGGTTACAAACCAGCATTAAGGACAGGGAGCAGTAGGCTCAGGGAGACCCAGGGCGTGGGACGTACCTCGCATGCCATAGTAGGAGAACCGCTCGCAGAACTCATTGATGACGATGAAGAAGATGCTCAAGGGGTAGCCAAAGCAGCCAGGCTGGAGACAAGAGACAGACAACGTGAGCTTGGGGCTGTGCAGCACGGGCTGACACGGTGTGCTGTGACCTGCTGCTCAACTGAGATCCATACGGCCCCTGCAGGAGCTGCTGGATGCCCAGGCGTCAGGAAGCTGCATGGGAAGCTGAATCCAGATCAATTCCCACCTCCCCTCCCTTGCCCCAGAGCTCTACACACTTCTCATCTGCCCTTCGCATGGCATCCTTAGCAAGGCTATATTGGACCTCCAAGCTTGGACCTGCAAGCTTTGTGCTTCACGCATCTGAAATCTTAAGCATTTAGCACTTGCAGTAATTTTGACTGGTAACCAAACACAAGGAAAAAAAAAAACAACAACATTTTTAGAAGAGAAACCGAACAGCCCAAACCCAGCAGCACATGGGAATTAGAAACCTGTCACTACTGTTAAATACCTCCAGCTGGGATGAACATTTAAACATTTCCTTCAAACACATCTCAGGAAAGCTCCCAATTCTTGCATGTTCCCCGCTAGATGAAGAATCCTCCATTTCTTGTCAATAAAACTGACTTTGCTCCTGATCTATGGCACTAACTGCCAGATTTCCTGATCCTTCAGCTGCTGTGGTAGGCACGATAGCCCTAATACAATTTGTGACACTGCTCTTGCCATTGTGACGGAGTGGGAAAAGCACCCATCGGCTGCAAATTTAGCCTAAGTGGTAGGACTGGCAATTTAATTTCTGATCACCTTCTTTTCTTAGCGGATGAACATACGATACCATTTCTATAAAAATACTAGAAATACAAGTTGTAATAATCCTCCATAGCTTATTTCCTCAGGGTTTAATTCAGCAAGTTGCAAAAATCAGATTTCTACTAAAACTCAAGACTTTGTCCTTAAAGCTATGCCAATTTGCATCCACTTCAGTGACTCACCTAGACCGTAACGATCAGTCTTGTCTCATTTTTTAGAAATACACACTACAATATTTTCTGTACAAGGAAATGAAAGCCATTTGTATCTGTGATTTAAGCTCTGAGAAACTTTTTTTTTTTTTTTTAATATTATCCAGGTGGAAACTCCTTCAGCGAGGAGCAATACAGCCTTACAAGGACTTGGGAAACCAAAAGCCATCTGAACTTGGAGTCAAAAAGCCAAGTAAAGGAGATCTTTGGATGCCTGTTACTCTGGTGCTTTAGAATAAATGGAAGTGCATGTATCAGCTGTCTGAAAATGAAAGAAAGCCCCTGCTGCATTATACGTGTGCTTGCACACACACCTGCTGACACACTTGCTGTTGCCATCCCCATCGTCCAGAAAGCTCTACCTGCCCCACAGAAGAGGTGGCAACCCCACTGCATCCCAGGTACAGGCCTGGCACCACCCAGCTGCACACCCTTGCCTTCAGCTGCTGAGGAAGCTGTGGGAAAGCTGCAGGGAAAGTCTGCAGGGTAAAGCCTTGCGAGATAAGAAAAGCAAAAGCTGCAGACAGATATAGGACTGCTGAGACAGGTGTCATTAACAGTTCAAAGATTCACGAGGAAGAATGCTAACACCACGAGGTAAACAAGGCCCAGAGGAGAGTCAGCAGATGCTGACAGCTCAGCAGCACCAAGGATGAGCCCCAGGGACCCTTCTGCTCCCAGCTGATGTCTGTCCAGCCAACAAAGGCTCTTCAGACATCTTATCAGGGCGGTGAGCATACCAATGTCTAGCTGGGATGTTGGGAGCTGCCAGGCTACCTCGTGTTTGTGTTGGCCAGTAACATGTTACTTTATAGGTAAAGTATTTTTATCTCATGTTTACAAGATGTATTTTATTTTATTTTTTTCACACAGCTATGGTTACCCAAAGTAATCTAGAGAAGGAGTATAGCAACTTGCTATGGCATAAGAGAAAGCAGTACTCACCTGTTTTGAGCCCTTACTTTTTGCAGCTGTGGGGAGGGGAAAGAACACAAGTTAATGGAAACTGAGTAAAACTTCTCCAAAGCAAAAAACAATGGGAAAAACTCAGCTTAAAACAAACAACCATGAAAAGCAAACATGGTATTGTTCAGTAACCACACACACGCTCGGGATGAGTACATTTTCAGTCAGAGGGAGGGTTCTTACGGTGCAAAGAGGTTATTAGAAAAAAATTGATTTCCTTTTGTTTCTCAGGCTAAGCGTGGACTCACATACACTGCCAGGGATAAAATCAAAGGGGCCGATGATGCAAGGCACCACAGCACGGTGGTGAGCAGCACTGCAGCTGCAGACAGCGCCCTGCAGCCCCTGCAAGCTCTGTCCTTCAGGGCACGCTCGGCTGGGCTCGCAGCGCTGCAGATAAACACGGTGCCCACGGAGTGGATGTCAGCATTTCCTACAGCACCGCATGGACAAGTTCATTATCGTTAAGATAAGACCAAGTACAAGACGTGAACTTTGAAATCCCTGCCTGCAAACTAAGTGTGCTTATAATAGATCCCTATAAGAAAAATGTGTTTGCTAGCATTTAGTCCATAGTTCAAAACAGAGGAGAAGAGCTGACAGCAACATCTATGGTGTTTGGCACACAATGTAATCAGGTTCCTTTTGAAAACTGTTAGAACAAATCGATTCTTGCCTTCAGTGGAAAGAAGTGGACAGCTATCTTTGTTGTAAAGACAGGACGTATCATGAAGATAATTGAAGAATATATCTTCCTAAAAATCAAGTAACATCCAGAAGGTGCTCACATACCAGTGCCAGGGCACATGCAAATATCCAGGTCATTAAAGCTGTCAGCAATGTCCCCTACACAACTCATGTGAGCAGATATATGGGATGATAACTAAGCGTTATAGCGACAGAGATTATCTTCATAACTCCTTGACTATTTCTGCTTTTTGTCATTTCCAGAGCATGTGCACCATCCTGCAAACTTTCTGTAACACACAGGGAACATCTGCCTGAGCAGCTCACGCCTATCTGTTAGCTGAGCCTTGGGGAAAATAACAACAACAATAACAATACTACTAACAATAATAACGATGGAACTTCTAGTTGGCTGTTAGCTTTTTTGTTGTTGCTAGAGGGTAAGATTATTATCCCAGCATGAAACCTGGCAGAGACATCTTCCAGAGAGCATTGACTGACTTCGGTGTTTCAGACACTTATTGGTCAACCAATTTGACTTTACACCTTTATTTTTCTTTTACAGGAAGGGTCAGCACTGACATACCATCTTATATCATATACACCCTTACATATATATATATATATATATGCATATATATATATATACATATATACACCATTGTATATACACACACCACTATATACACGCACACACATACACACACCCCATTATTTTTATAATACACCATTACGTATTTAAATAGGATACAATATATACACAAATCATGTAAGACGGCCAACATTTCAACACGGGAAGCTGTCTGGCCAGCCCTCCCCATGCAGCGAGCATCCTGCACTTCGCACCATTTCCAGCAAAACGCCGGGGTTTTGCTCGCAGCGAGCCCCCTTTTGGGGCAGCCCCCAGCACCCCCAAGGACTGAAGTGCAGGAGCACCCCCAGAAATCCCAATTCCCGTTGTTGTTAACCAGGACCCTGAGCAGCCAAAGGCGCTGCGAGACCCCGCTGGAGACCCCCCCCACCCCTCTTCCAAACGCCGTCGGGGCTGGGGTCCCACTGCCCGTCCCCCCCTCCTCAGCACCTACCCATGGTGCCGGCACGCTGCTGGCGGCCGCGGGGCGACCGAGGGGCGGACAGACAGACGGACAGACGGACAAACAGACGGGACGGGACAGAGGGAGGGCAGCGGGGGCGGCCGGCATTTAAGGGCGGCTCGACGGGGCCCCCGCCCCGGCACCGCCCGCAGCAGCAGCAGCAGCAGCGCAGGTGGCGGGGAGGGGCGGGTGGCCCCGGAGCCGCCAGGGGTGGCGACACGATGCCACACGACACGATAGGACACGACAGGACACGATAGGACACGACACGACAGGACACGACCCGCGGCCACAGCCCCCCCCTTCCATCGGGCATCGTTCCTCTGAGGTGCTTAGGGCCAGGGTTGGCTTCGTTTGTTTATCCGTGTGTGTCTGTGGTTTTCCTTTTGTTTACTTATTTATCTATTTATCAATTTTTTTGTTTGTTTGTCCTCTTGTTGCTCGCTTTCCACACCGAGTTGTTGGCTGCGTGCGTGAGACAGTCGGGTGGGGGGCTCAGGGCACGAAGGGGCAGCCATGCGTGTGGCCCGCCTCAGGAGTGGGTCAGGAAAACTGCAGCGCTGAGGTTTGGAAGTGCCCAGAGCACAGAAAGGGAGAAATATTAGTCGGCTGTGCCAAAATTAAATGTCTGCCGGAAGCCTAAAAGCCTTGTTTGATGCCTGCTGGTGTTGAGCGACACTGGGCTGTGGTTTGTGCAGTGGGTCGGGTGGCCTCTCCTGCTGCGCGCACGTAGTAATTACCGGGCTGCTGGACAGGGAGATTGCTTCTCGGGTGCAAATGCAACAGGCACTGAGATGTGTTGCAACGCGGAGTATCTACAGGCTCTAAAGAAGGCTGCCCTGGCCTGCGATGGACAGCTACAGCGCAGCCTGGATTTCCTCAGCTACGTTTGCATGGGGGCAATGAGCTCAGAGGAGCCCTCCCCTCTGATCAGTTCCCCCTACTTTTAACATTTATGAATAAATTCTTCAGGTGAAGAATGAGCCTGTGGTGGTAGCCAGATGTCCAGCACGTCTGAAGCCAGAAGCACACGTTTGGCTGCAGAAGCCCTCCCCAGGACAGGAGCAGTCTCCTGGCCACATCCAACTCAAATCAGAAGCTGTGGATGCTTTGCTGAGTGGTCCAAAGGGCACAGGGCAGCACCGGTATCACTGACAGCCCCTCCCGTGCAGAAATGACTGAAATGCCACCACTATTTCTGATCTGTTAAAACACCAAATTGAAGAAGTGGTTTCTTCCCTCAACAGCAGATTTGGCCTCTTCCTCTCGTATAAATGGTGCTGGTGAGGAGGAATTTTAGGGAGTTACCAAGCATGTCCTACATGCCCATGTACACTCTGGAAACAAACAAATGTCCTCTGATGTTTCTTTGTAGAGAGAGATGAATGAGCGTGGGGCAGAGATTAAGGGAGACCACGTGTTTTCCTAGCAATTCGAGATAAAGGGGCTACTTGGGTCACACTGGCTTCCGCTCCCCATATCTCCCAGTATTCAAGATCTCCCTTAAATCAAACATTAAAAAAAAGCACTACACAAATGTTCTAAAAATAAGAGCAAAAGAATTCACCCTGATGAGCACAAGCATTTTGATTCTCCCCACAGAGATAAAGGCCCACACAATTGCTTCACAGGTGCTTCAGGAGTGGATTGGGCTCTGCATTCAGTAAGCTGGGACAATGAAGGTGAGCTCTGTGGGGCAGCTTTGTCACCATCCCCGTGCGAGCAGCAAAATCTGTGCTCAGAGAACCTGAGTTTCCTACCCAGGCTCACTTCACAGGAGAGCCACGAGGACAGCAGGACTGCTAAAAGCAGATGCCCAGCACAAAAAGGCGAAGGTGTGACTGTATTGTCTTCCACAGAGCTCTGAACTTGGAGGAGGCACAGTGCATTTGAGGATATAGCAGAAAACTCGGGCGACATCACTTCGAACAGTTAAGTACAGGCCACAGCAGGTGATTAGGAGGTACGGTATGTGACTTCTGCAAACCGTGCAGGTTAAAACTACGAGTTATTCCAAGAATGTGGCCTAGCACAAACTGCTTGGCTATACAGGTGGGTATTTTAATTGATGGTTATCTCACTCTGTCATTAATTAAATGCCACAAAATAGAGCTCAGTTAAAGGTTTTGGGGGAGTTTGTCTTCTTGTGCCTCACCAGTAGGAAGTGTGCTACCACATCAGAGAAGCCGGTGAGGTGACTTCCATAAAGTGGAATAGTTGATAACAACTATTGATCGTTTAATGACTGACAACCTGAACTGGGAATGAAGAAAAATAAGACAAATTAATATTTGTTTAGAGAATGTGCATTTTTAAAAAAATCTTGGCAGATGTTTTTGACTCTATTTCAAATTGGAAAAATAATAATAAGCACAAAGAAATTGCAAGCATGTGCAGCTTATCATGGGGTAGCTACTATTGCACAGAGAGCTGAAAACTGGTTCAGGTAGTGCATGAGTTCTGGTATGAACAGAGACTAATGGATTTCCTTCTATACCCACAATCTATTTGGCTTTCAGGATAGTAGCAGCCAAACACAAGTCACTTTCCAGTAACTACTCCTCCCAAGAGCTGTTTATCCCCACCTCCCAGATAGGGAATTTAAGGAAAAAAGTGGTTAGCAATCAGCCAGTGCTTACATAGCCTTTCTCAGAGGCCCTGCCCTTCTGGATGTAACTGAGGTGTCCTAAAGCCACCAATGCTCAGGTGATGAAGAAAATGCCATTAGCTTGCCGTGACCTTTCCCACAGCACCGTGTCCCGCTGGGTTTCCTGAAGGCAGGGCGAGCTGGCACAGCAAACGCTTGGTTGGAGGCATGGAGGAGACCTGGCCTGGAGGGCACCGCAGCAGATCAGCAACTGAATGCAAAAATAAGTGGGACCAGCAGAATAAAGGACACTTGTTTTTGTATCCGAGATGCCCAGTTAATACAGATTTTGGCCCCGAAGTGTATGGACTTGTTACTTCAGGAGTTTGTTGTGGTGCCCCGGGGCTTGCCGTGCTAGGCCGCAGCAGGCCGCCAGCCCAGCTGGGCAGCACGGGGCTGGTGTTTCTCCCAGAACCATGGAACCACTCGGGTTGGAGAAGACCTCCAAGTCGTCTGGTCTGAGATCATCTTCTCCTGTAGGAGAAGGAGAAGAGCTTGTCTCCGTGGGGTTTGGCTTCCCTGGCATGTTGGGGAACACGCTAACGCGTGGGCGCAGGGCGGAGGGGGAAGCAGGGAAGCGGGAACCAGAGCCCAGAACTTTATATAAACAAAGCAACCAAAGTAAACTTCATTTACCTGCAGCTACCCCGCACGGAGGCTAAAATCCCATGGCTCATTAGCAGTGTCTCTGGCAACGGACATTTAGCAGGGCAGATGTAGACCTAATAAGTTAATGGTACACGCTACATCGTAAAATCACTCCTGCCAAAAAGCGTTTTTTCATTTTTTTGAAAACACAGCTTGACGTTAACAGCTCATCGTTAAGAGTGTTTTATTTCCGCCCCGTTTGCTCTTTGATAACATTGTCCTCTCTGCAGAGCCAGCCCCCTTGGCTTGTGTCTCATCGATGAGCGGCGGGTGAGCGAGGGCCCAGGGGCAGAGCCTGGGAGCACAGAAATGCGTGCAGTGCCCCCAGCACGGCCGCTGAGCTCCTGCCAGACCTTGGGCAACCCTCTGCCGAGGACAGCAGAGCCCGCTGTGCCAGCCGGGGCACTCCCAGCAGGAATGTGGGGCGTGCAAACAGGACTGCGAGCAGAGGTATTAAGGGCAGCCGGTGAGGGAAGTAGGGCAGAGCAGAGGTCCCGGCTCAAAGCCTTGATGTATTCCTTTCTACTAGTGAGAAACACGATCTTTGAAACGCCTCAGTGTATTTAAAGAAAAAAAAAAAGACAAACAAAGGTGTAAATACCTGGCACTCAGCTCCAACTCAAGCCTTTCACTGTGTAGTGTGTCACCAAGGACAATGCAGGTTTGAAGAATACAAAGCATACTGAAGCCTCCAAACCACCTCTTCAATACTTTTTGTTGTTTTGTTTTGTTTGTTTGTCTTGTACTTCCACAACGATATTTTCTTCTGAAACTTCATATTCATGTTGTGAGACCTGACAACTTTGAGAGAACATTTCAGGTTTCCATTGCATCACATCTTCTAAAGTTTCGTCTTCAGCATGTTTTTAAGCAAACTGTCCTTTGCTTTTTTTCTTAAGGACAGCTCACTGGAGTCTCAGCAGTGCGATAGCTGCAAGGGCTGGCTGAATTGTCTTGTAAACTTATGTAACCAGTCCTACAAAATGAACAATGGTGTTGACAGGAGAATGCAAGGATAAGTGTCATCTCTTGACCAATCTGTGTTTTGACACAAGCACATACGAAAGACTTGACTTAAACTGACCCAGTATTTAGGAACTGGTGTGATTTGTCTCAGAGTTTTGGGGATAATTGTTTATCCGATTGCTAAAGATTTTTTTTTCTCCTTCAAATAAATCTTATAAAATTGGATGATCACATTTCCAAGGGAAAATATCCTGACATTATACATGATTTTTGGGGTGGGAGAGACAGTGCTGCCATGCAAAAACATATGCGACTAAAGATGACATCAACATCCACAGTGGAAGTCACATTATTTTGAGTTGGGGCAATAGAACAGGAGTATATCGTTTTCTGGAGATGCATTATCTCCATTATATTAGCAGTATCTGACAGAATTTAATATGTAAATGAATTTCAATGAATTCACTTATCTCACCCCATTCTTATGAAGTCACTCTGAAGTCATCCTTCATATTTCATTTGAGAAATCTTGGTCAGTTTTGCTGTTTCTCAAAGGCCCAAGGCTCCATTGGACTATTTCCCTCTACATGCAGCCCACTTTTTTTGGAGGGGCTGATGGGAGGAGAGGTTGGTGGAAGGACGGTGTGAGGGAAGGAAGGGCTGGAAGAGAGTTTCATGGTGGGAGTCCCATGGTGAGACCGTGCTGGGTCTAAGGAGAGGGGCAGGAACACCCATACCTTGCTCCCAGTCCCCCAAATAGGCAGGCAATGAGGCACTTACAAAGACAGAAGGTCTTCTG